ATACCATCAACTAAATTTATCCACTTCATCCAAATTTATCTTCTCTCTCCTAAGTCATGTAAGCAATGTAGCCACTACTCCACCGCCTTAGCAACCTAGAATGTCGTCGGCGACCAACACCACCATAGCATGTTAGTAACCAAGAACCATGTCGATAACCATTGTGCCACCTGATGTGGGAGCTGAAAAATGGATGGTAACGTAACTAGCATGTTGGGGACCCAAACACAAACTTAGCCATTGGCCTTCCAAGAGGTACGAGAATGATTTTTCTCATTCAACTTAGCCACCAATGACACAACCCATGATATGAAACCCACCCATGACCACAAATGAACCCAACCTAAAAATGGTAGGTGTTTGCATGCCCTCCTCTGTTGATTTCCTCGACCTTCATTGTTGAAGAATTCAAGCTCCATTGTTAACAATTGATTTAATGAGAGTGGTAACGTCTAGGTAATGCCTTCCAAGCCAAAAAATATATGTAAAATGACGATTGCATCACAAGTGAAGTGTGCAAAAAGACTGGAATATCCCCCGTAGAAACAGAATTTGTTTCTTAGGTTGAAAAACTTGTACCTTCTTAAAATGGGGCTGCTTGGTTCTTCATATTGAGAAATTTATTTTGTTTCTTTAGTGGTAATAATTAACCCCAACTGGTAAGTGTTTGTCATTTGCTTGTGAGTTTTCCTTCTCCATTGATTTCCTTGAACCCCATTATTGCAAAATTGAGAGCTTCATCAATTTCCCAAAATGTTGCGGATTTACTATAGCCAGTCGATCAATTTACCATCTCATACTAAATTGATGAAATTAAATGACATAAATAGCTCTTTTTGTTACGTGAAAAGACCAACTTGCCCTTTTGAGATGCTTTCAATGTTTCTCACGTGGAAAAACTTGTATTTTCTCAAAAAAAAAAAAAAAAAGTGTAAAGACCAAAAACCTAGTACGAGTAATTAGTTTCATTTGATGTAATCTTATTTTTTCTTTTTACTGTATCTCTAATATAACCATGGATCTCTATCATTTATTTATGTGAATCAATCCTCAGATTAGATTTCTGAGATCGGGAAGAAAGCTCTAACTATTTGAGCTAGCCCTCACTCTAATTGTAAGTAGGGGTGAGCAAAGACCCAGGGTACCCGGTACCGGACCCGGAACCGGTTAAGATCCGCCGGGTCCGGACCCGGAACTGGTCCCACCGGTTCCGGGACCGGGTCCAAAATGTCGGACCCGGTTGTAACCGGTTCCGGGACCGGGTCCTAAAATTTCGGACCCGGTACCCACTGGGTACCCGGTTTAAACCAATTCTAGTTCCGGGTACCCGGTCCCGGATCCAGACAATCCGGGTACCCGGAACCGGTACTGATTTAGTTATAAAAAATTATTTTTTTTAAAAAAAACCCAAAAATCCACAGTCCAATACAACATTAGGCCCATTTCATCCAATTCATTTCTGCTAGGGTTTCTGTCAGCCACTAAGCCTCCTCATTTCATTGAATTCATTTTTGCTAGGGTTTTGTTCTTCTCTGTTCATTCTCAATCTTCTCTGTTCTCCTCTGAAAATCTCATCTTGTCTTCTTTCGTTCTCATCAATTCACTGATTCTCGGTCTTCTTTCGTAAGTATTTTTCTCTTGGTACTCAAAATCTCATCCTCTCTTTCGTTCTCATCAAGCCACCGAACGACTGTCTCTTTCGTAAGTATTTTTCTCACTTTGTTTGCTTTTTGTTTCATCTTGCATATGTAGATCTCTGGTACTGTTTATTTCTGCTTGCATTTTCTTTGGAGATAGTTAGAGTGTTTATGTTAATTTTAATTTTAATTTTCTTCAATTTCTGAGGGTGTTACGAGTGTTTAATATGCTGAAATCAATGAATTAGTACAAATTGACTACACTTATAGTCTTTTTCTGCAATTTCTGGGTGTTTGAATAGATTCTTATTGAGTATTAATTGGTGGGTACCATTTTTAGTTGTTGTACATGTTTAGTTCAGTCATTGCTTTTATAGAAGTTGTTGTTTGGCTGTTAACATTGTGGTGTTGATCTCAGTACATGAGGTGGGTACACTGGGGTTTCGTTTTAATGATGTTATGTTTGCTGCTTGCATTCTCCCTGATAGAGTTAAAAACATTGGAAGAAACAGAGTCAATAACTCAATGTTCTATCTTTTGGCTTTTACCACTTGCGATGGATTAGTGGAAAAATTGCTTTAGAGGAGATATTTCCCAAAGTTCAAAAAATTTTTGTTGAATTTTTTTCCTGACTGAATGATTAAATAAAAAAATCATACTACACTACACTGCAATCCCATCTTCTGATCACATTCACCTTGCATCTTTGCAATAGTGCTTTTTTTTTTTTTTTTTTTTTTTTTTTTTTTTTTTTTTTTTAATCTAGTTATCATGATATTGGTTTACCTTGTTTTTTTCAGATTTTTAGATCTATTTCTTGTTTTATTGAGCTGGTCTTTTCTGAAATTTGTAGTTGTGGAGAAAGATGTAGATGGTGATGCATGTGCAGGAACTACAGTTGGATTTCTATGTAGAATTCTGCTTGTTTAAAAGGTTTTTATAGAGGAGAAAGTGTTTCAACAACTAAAGGAACCTTCTTTTCATAAGATTAATTACCATTTTTTCTTTATTAAGTTCCAATTCCTTTTTGTATTCTTCATGAAGATGATGTACTAGGATCTGTGCATATTGTCTCTCCTTTCTTTCTTTGTGTTTATGTGAGTGAGACAATATCAGTTCTGACTGTTGTATGTATTTGTGTAATGCATATAATCACTCTCACTTTGTGTAATGTTTATGTCTTATTAAAGTTTAATTTGTTCCTATTTCAGAACTATGAGCAATACCGACAATTCGTCAGTCCCTATGGATGATGAAAGTGAGGTTGGAAACGAGAATGCAACAACCAAATCAACCAAGGTTGGTGACAAGAGGAAGTCTGAATACTGGAACCATTTTTGGGATTTTAGAGATCCAGTAACCAAAAAAATTGTTCAAGTCAAATGCAAATATTGTGAGAAAATGCTAACAGGTAATACTAATAATGGAACTTCTTCATTAAAGAAACACCTTGGTGCATGTTCAAAATACCCTCCAAATGTAGACAAAAAGCAAAAACTCATTTCTGTTTACAAGTCTCCTGAATCTGATGCTACTATAGTCTCTAATTGGAAATTTGATGAAACTGCTTGTAGACTTGGTTTGGCAAGAATGGTTATTGTTGATGAACAACCATTTTCTATTGTTGAGCGTGAAGGTTTTAGGTATTTTTGTAGTGTTGCTGTACCTCAATTTCATATACCTTCACGTTTTACAGTTGCAAGAGATGTGAAGAATATATTTGTTTGTGAAAGTGGAAAATTAAAGAAATTAATTGGGTGTTTGAAATCGAGAGTGTCACTAACAACTGATTGTTGGACCTCCATTCAAAATTTTAATTATCTTTGTTTGACTGCTCATTTTATTGATGATAATTGGAAGTTGCATAAAAGAATTTTAAATTTTCAATTAATGGATAGTCATAAAGGTAAGGAAATTGGAAAAGTTGTGGAGGCATGTATTCTTAAATGGGAGATTGAGGATCGATTGTTTTCTTTAACTGTTGATAATGCTAGTTCAAATGATGTGGCGGTTGGATATTTGAAAACACTTTCATGATAAACTTGTTTTGGAGGGTTCATTTTTTCATATGAGATGTGCTTGTCATGTTCTAAATTTGATTGTGAAAGATGGTTTATCTAGTGTGAAGTCTTCGATTGCTCGAATTCGTGCTGCTGTTAGATATGTGAGGAGTTCACCTTCTAGAGCTAAATTGTTTGCACACTCTTCTATGTTGGTTAAAGTTTCTTGTAAAGGTTCAGTTTGTCTTGATGTGGCAACTAGATGGAATTCTACCTTTCTCATGCTTGAAACCGCATTGAAATTTGAAAAAGCTTTTAATAGGTTTGCGGAAGATGATCCTGATTTTAGTAGGGAACTCAAGGATGGAGTACCTACACAAGAAGATTGGGTAAATGCTAAAGTGTTGTCTTTGTGTTTGAAATTATTTTATGAGTCTACAAAGAAAATGTCGGGTAGTTTATATGTTACTACAAACTTGTATTTTCACGAGGTTTTGGAGGTGTTAAGTTGTTTGATAGAATGGGAAAACTCTACAAATATGGATATTCGTATTATGGGTAGACAAATGAGGGAAAAGTTTGATAAGTATTATGGGGATCTCGGTAAAACTAATATCATGATGTTAGTTGCGGTTGTTTTAGATCCTCGATATAAGCTTAGGTTTTTGAAGTAATCTTTTAAAAAACTTTATCCTAACGACTTTGCCAAAGTCGATGTTATTTGTGACAATTTGTATGACAATGTTCAGAAGTTATTTAACCATTATGATGCTATTATTGCTTCTTCCTCTTCCAAGAATAATCGTAATATTAATGTTGCCAATGTGGATAATGGTTCTGAAAACTTGAGCTCTTCAAATAGTGAGCAAATGAAAAAGTTTTATGATGATTTTGATGAGGAAGAAAGTGATTTTATTGTTGAAAAAAGTGAATTGGATTATTATCTTGAAGAAGCTCGGGAGAGAAGGGTTGAAGGGGAAATGTTTGATATTTTGGGTTGGTGGAAAGAAAAAAGTGACAAATACAAAGTATTGTCAACATTGGCTAAGGACATTTTGGCTATACCAATTTCTACGGTTTCTAGTGAATCCGCATTTAGTACATCGGGTCGCATACTTGATCAATTTCGTAGTAGTTTGGGGCCAAATATGGTGGAAGCTTTAGTTTGTACTCAAGATTGGTTAAGGGCGTCAAATGTATGCATTGATATTGAGCGCTTCCTTGAGGATGTTCAAAAATATGAAGAAGGTAATACACTAATACTTCTATTATTTTGTATATTTATCTATTTTATTTCTCTAAGTTTATTACTTATATTGTTTACTGTTTTTTTTAGAATTGGATGGTAGTGACACTGGTATCACACAAGTTAATGAATTTGTTGGAAATAATTGATGTGACAAAGGTTTGTATAATTGTATTCTTAATTATATTGTATGAAAAGATATCAAATGACAAATATTCTAAGGACATTTTGGCTTTTGTTTATAGGGAATTTGTGCTTCCTTGTTGGCTGCTGCCTCTTTGCTTTGTTGTCTGCTGTATGCTGTCTTTCTCCGTTGCTTAGATGGTTGCTGACTTGTTGCTGGTCTTGTTGCTGGCTGATGGTGTGCTCAGCTGCTGCCTGCTGATGGTGTGCTCAGCTGCTGCCTGTTGCTGCCCTTCCTTTTCTTCCCTTTTTTTTTCTGAACTTTTATTTAAGTAGTTGTTTTGGTTATGTTTGGATGTTTGGACTTTGCAGCATTGTTGAAGTTTGTTGTACTGATATTTTAGGTTGTTGAATTGGTACTTTTTGGCTTATTAGTTTGTAATATTTGTATTTTGAAATATTTGTATTTTGCTAGCCTCCAAAACTAATTTAGGGATATTATTATGTTAATATAACTAGCCTGCAAAATTCCATTATATATAATAATATATTATATAACAATTATAAAGAAAAAAACAGTATTTTACTACGTTGAATAATACCGGGTACCCGGTTTTGGAACCGGTTCCTACCGGGTCCGGGACCAGTTCCAAAAAATTTGGATCCGGTATTAACCGGTTCCGGGACCAGTTCCAATTCTTGGGACCCGGTTATAACCGGTTCCGGATCCGGGTATTACAAATATGACCGGGTACCCGGTCTTGCTCACCCCTAATTGTAAGACATGAGTCACATGACTATGAGTCTATGACATCAACATTGGTTCTCCTCTGAACTATATTATCAGCTGTAATTTCCTTACCACGGTGACTTATACGGAGTAATGGGTTCACCATTATCACCTTACAAAATTACCTAACTGTCCCTAATATATCACATCTCATTTGTGAACAAGAAAAAAAAAGGATGAACTTCTACGTTCTAAGCCCCCTACCTCCTGCTCCTGCTCCTCTATTTCTCTGGTAGTTCTCCATTGAAGCGCCTTTTGATACTTGTATCTCCCATTGAAGCAGCTTCTGAGGTAATTTGTTGTTTCTTTCCCTAAAATTATTTATAAGCCTGGTTTGATTATTGAATCAAATTTGGTTGCTAATGTGTTGCAAAGCCCTTTAATGTTAGAATTCAACTATTAAATGAATCAGGGATAGGACTGATTATTAGTGAAAATTTGTAATTATATTCTGATTTTTCATGGAGTATGTACTAATATCATTATAGACTGTTTTTTCTTGGTAATTATATGTTGAAAGTTGATTGATTGTTGCTGAAAATTGGTTATATTTTGTACATAAATTATGCCCTAACTTGATACTTGATACTCGATACATAAAAACCTTTTTTGAATTTCTTTTGTGATTTATTTGTTAGAATATCATATTTTTAAATATCATATTTTTAAATAGTTATATGTAATAACTTATTGCATTCGCCCCTTAATTTCGTGATTAATCAATTTATTACATGGTTATGACACACACAAAATGTGCATAATTACACTTCTACACTGGAATTCTTCTTTGACTCGACTCATTCTATGAAAGAGTATTAAATTTACTTACTTGTCCCAATCTATAAATATGAGTGAGAAATCAATAATAATCATGTTTCATAAATAATAAATGTAGTTTTTTTCTTATAAAAGAGAATTAAGGTTACATTAATTTTTTCTTGTTACTTATAGTTATATAATTATATGATTCAGTTCACTTTTAATAAATGTATCATCTCATAAAAATTATCACTTCTTATCATGCTTGTAAACAAGTCATTAAATAGAATTTATCAAACAATCCAAGAATCATAATCTTCTTATAATGATATCACTTCAATTTTCAAAGTATATAAAATACCTAATAAGATACTATGCGAATATTAAAAAATTCATACATGCATACATACCAAATAAAATTATGGTGAATAGCCACAACTACTAAAAATCATCTCACTCGATTCTCCTATATAGTAAAAATAATTATTGTCATAATAAAATTGCATAATTAAAATATATTAAGCCTAAAACAAGAAAAAACCTTCTCATGTGAGAAATAAAAACTTGTAGGAAAACTTCTGAAACGACTACTATCATCGGTAACACATACACATCTAAATCCCTTCCAATTCAAAGTGGAATCTCGATATTGATAACTTTGATATAAATTATTACTATAAAAAAATAACATTTATTAAGATATCTTTATTTAACTACAATTATAATAAATCATTTTATAATAAATTCAGACATTTAATGCAAGAAAAATAATCTCTCCATTTTTTAAAGTGTGCATCACTTTAATCGGCATAATTTTTAGGAGATTGACTTGAATTCTATAAATAATATGCACACAAAAAATTGATACATTGTATAAAATTTCATAGTATATACTAATTATAATAAATATACAATCAAAATTATTAAAGTTAAAATAATGTTATGTATCAACAAAATGTATATTAAAGTATTTCAATTACTTTAGGATGATTTTATTTATTTATTTTTTTTAACAAAAACTTCAGGATGATAAATTATGTAGGGTACCCCTCCGTTCTTTTTATTGGTTATTATCATATTTTAAATATTATTCATAAAACTTCATCCGTTTCTTTTTATTGGTTATGTTTAGATTTTATACATTATTCATAATACTCCATCCGTCCCAAAATATATGAGACGTTGGACTTTTTTCACTATTCATGTATTAGTTTTGATCATAAGTTTTTACTAACATAATAAAAACATATTTTATCATAAAATATGTTGTTATATAGGTATATATATAAAATTTCAAAAATATAATTTTAAAACAATTTTCATAATATTTAATTATATACAAATAAATTCAAATAGTGCATTGACATTTGTGCAATGTTGACCGTGTCATGTATTCTGGAATAAAGAGAGTATTAGATAATCTTCAAATTTACTCACAAAAGTAAAAGAGTCGTGTGAGATCATGCTTGATTCGTCTCAACGAATGCTCTATTAATATTCAATCGTTATAATTTTAAAAAGTATGTAATGAATAATAATCAAATAGGTGTATTGACAAACGTGTAAAAGTCAAAACGTATCCAATAAAAAGTGAAGAAGGGCGTATTATACTTTAGATATAGGGTAATTTTGTGAAAATTTAAGAAAATTTTACCAACAACTACCATTATAATGACTACTTTGAGATCAACTAACTACCATCTATTTATTTATTTTTTTTGTAAAAAAAAATCTAAAAAAATCTACCACAAAAACCTTGAGTAACACAACTACATTTAATTTCTTGGCAATAATCTCCAATTGAGGGAGCTAAAAAATCGATTGTTTCAACGACAAGGGAAGGGAGGAGGGGCGGTTTCATCGACCTGAGAAGGGAAGGGCTATTTGGGGGATAGGGAAGGGGGTGGTTTCGATGGTGTAGGTGGGTCGCCCGAGTGTTTTTAGGGGTAGGGAAGGGCCGATGGTTTCAATAGTGTAGGTGGGTCGCCTGTGTGTTTTTAGGGGTTGGGAAGGGTCGAGCGGCTGTTATCGGTTGCTAGGGGAGGCGGGCGGTTGAATTTCGATCGGGCTGGGGGTTGGGGCTAAGGGGAGGAAGGATGGTAGCTGGCTGGGAAGGGTTTTTTAATTTTTTTTTCTTTTTTTACAAAAAAAAAATTTGGACCAATTATGTTGCGACACATCACACATGGCTTTTACAAAATAAAAATCACTCTTTCTTTAAGTCACTGGTAAATCGACCTAGTGGAAGAAAATCAACCCAAAAGTTCATAGTGTTCCCTAATTAATGTAAGTTGGGATTATTAAGAGTAAATTGCTGAAAGTTCGAATTAATAAATCAAAGTGAATTTTGCTAAAAATTAAAACTTAGATTTTGGAAGCACCCAATATAATAGATCGAAAAGCGAAGACAAGTCGAATTCAGGGTAAATTGGAGGATGAAATGGAGTCGTTTGACTCTTGGAATTGCCCTTTTTAATAATTTCTTTAGTTTTAACCTTTAATGGAAGTGGTGATACTTATGTTTGTTGGGAGATGTAGCAAAATTTCAATTACAGATTTACATAAACCCGTAGTAGGTGTTGTTAAACCCATTTGTATGTGATATCGGTAAAAGTTATTACAACATCATGACCTTGTATGAGAATATATATTCCCTCTGTCTCACAATATAGTTTTTGTTTTCCTATTTTAAGAGACCCAAAATGTTGTTCCTGTTTCTATTTTTGAATAGTATCATAGTATTTAAAGACCATTATACCCTTACTTTTTACTTTATTCATTGAACTTCCTAATTTACCCTTAACTTATCCACTTGTATTGTACTTTTTTTTCACTTTATCTCTCTAACTTTTGTCTATAATTGAACTTTTCACCTTTTCCCCCTTAAATTATCCACTTGGCTTGTACTTTTGTCTAGTTCTTTTCCACTTCTCCCATTTCTTAAATACCGTGAAAAAAAACACAATAGGAACTATATTATGGGACGGAGGGAGTATAAGATATGGTTTTGTCAGATCACAAAGAAATGTGATTGACATGTATGAAGCATAGATCTCAAGAGGATTTTATCCATTTGAATTATTGGGGTCCCTTAGGGTAAGACATACTGATTTTGGGTTGTCTCCGTCATTTCAGCAACATTCATAGACTTTTAATTGTAGGTTAAAAAAATACCTTGCACAACACGAAACATCATCACCAACTTTTCTCGTTCTATCAATAGTCTCATCGCATGTTTAAATGTATATTGGTAAGCCTTATATGCGTTGTCCTCACTCGTTGTAATAGCTAAAAGGTAAATATCGTTAATGACCTTAATTGATACTGTGTAAGGCTTCTTATGCCAATAATAACTTATGTTACTTACTGTCCTTTTGTTTGTTGTAAACTAAGTTTAATTAATGTAATTTCAGATGTTTTTTTTTAAAAAAATCTTAAAAACTTACTAAGAATTAATACAAGTTCTGATGTATGGAAATATTTAATAATATTTAAAACATGTTTACATAAAACTTTTATAAAGCCCACCTATCTCATAATTTGACGATCATATAAAGACCCGCCCCATTGATTTATGAGACGGATCTAACCCATATTATAACTATGGCGGGTCATGGCTTTTAAAGGCCTCCATTCCTATTTCCTACCTCTCTGAGTTATCTCATTGCAGCGCAATCAACGTTCTCCATTGAAGCGTTCTCCTTGTATCCCCCATTGAAGCAACTTCTAAGGTAAGTTGTTTGTTTTTGTTATCATCACATCAATTTCACAATCTAGGGTTTATATTTGATCTAATCTAATTTAATTATCAGTGCTTTAAGTTTAGGTTCGCAAATTTTTAGATTATGAAACATCATATCCAAAAGAAAAGAAAATTATGAGCGTAATTTGATTATTGAATCAAGTATCCCTAAAATTATGTAGTTTTCTGAGATAATTCAATATGAAATCAAATCTCTTT